GCAAACGTCAGTAGCATTTTTACATCAATACTGACAGTTCAGTTGTCGATTGGGGTGGGGTTCGGTAAGCAGGGCGCTCAGTTCTGTTGACGGGATGGGGTGCCCCACTTGTATAATGGTGGGGGAAACACTGGATATTTTAATTACTGCCTGCTGCCAAGAATAGTCATAAATACTTATATATAATCCATATCTACGTCTATATAAATGTGTGTTAGTTGGTGTCTGTTAGCAAAATATCTCATGAAGCACTAGATATGTTAATGAAACTCTCCTCCATTTAATTAAATATTTTCTGAAACAAACAGATTCTTTAGTCCATAAGGTTTTGAATTCAAACTCAGGCGTCAAAAGAACTTTTAGACAGATCAGAGCAGTGGCAGAGGGACGCACACGCACAAAACGTCAAAACATTGCAAAGCCGGAGCGGAGCGCGGTGAAAAGGTGACGCAAACTGAAAGCAGAGACGCTGACATGAAGCGACAGAAAGCAAACGCAGACGGGAGAGGTTTGAATAAAACATCAAGTCTGGTTTGGTTTGAATAAATTGAACAGCTTGATGTAAGCAAATTAAAACATGAAACTTAGAAAGCTTTCTAACGAAACATGAAAAACACACAGGCCAGAGGGTTAATTTTTTTATATAATAAATGTGTGGATACGTTTGTTTTGAGCAATTAGAACAACTTTAACTGTTCAGAGAAATTTTATTATGATTGAACATTAAAGATAATCAGAGTAAAACAACAAAATTAGAGTGATGTGTTTAATTATGCAGAAATAATTCAGAAAACTCAATTTATACGTAGAGCTGCATTAATTACTCAATAATTAATTTGTATATTTTAATATTTGATATATACTTAAGATTTTGTCACTATCTTCTAGAATATCTATAAACCCATTAAGACAAAAATATACCGATGGTTTTTAAGACAATGTTTTGATCGAATCTTTTTCCAAGTCATCCAATAATATTTTTAATTGGTGAACATCAACAACATATATTGATATATATTTTTAAAAAGAAGGTTTAAGTTATTTATTAATTAGAGCTTTCTTTAAAAAGGAAGCTTGTCAGAATAACACGTAAAAATTGAACAAATTGTAAAAAAAAATAAATAAATCCATAAATCGTGTGACGAAGGCGTGATGAAGCTACAGCAAATGTTTTTTGGCGGCAGTAAGCTCGTTAGCACGTGAATTTTATTTTATTTTTTTAATTACCGTAATTATTATTTAAAAAAATACATGAATTAGCTGCAGTGTCCAAAGTGTGTGAAAAAAGTAGCGGCTTATACACAAGAAATTACTGTAATTTTTCTGTTTTAAAACAAAAAAAAAAGCCAACAGGGTTAAATCTTGTTAATAAAACTTCTTTAAAATGAAATACATGACGTCGAGCTCTTCTTGTGTGGATTAAACGCTCAGAAAAAGCAGGAGTGATATTAACAGTTTGGAGAACAGTACCTTGGTTCTGGGCAAAGTGTGGCCCCCCGTTGAGCTGGCTGGGGTTGTGGGTCGTGTTGGGCTGACCGGTGACGGATGAAGGTCGGCGAAACGGAAGGGAACCCCCCACCTGGTGGTTCTGGGGCTGCTGCACCGTGCGGTTCATGCTGTAAAACTGAGGAGCACCTGAGGGGATACAACAGTAGGAGGAAGCGAGTCACAGAGCTTCAGCAAACTTCTTTTTCTTCTTTGCATCGTTTTTGTTGAAAACCAATTACATTTCTGCAGTTCAGAGGTTTTTTAATTTATTATTATTTCATTGTGGTATTTGGAGCTGAAGCACCTTATAGCATTACAGGTGCATCTAAAAAAATTACAATATGATGAAAATGTTCAAATTTTTAGTCAAATTATTGAAAAAAGTGAAACTCATTTCAATGGTTCCCAACACTGGTCCTTGAGGAACACCATCCTGTATGTTTCAGTTGTTTCCTGCTCTAACAGGCCTGATTTTGTGATTTTATTCGTTCCTCGAGTTCTACAGAAGCCTGTTAATCACTCATTCATTCAAATCAGGTGCATCAAAGTAGGGAAACTAAAATATGCAAGATGGTGTTCCTCAAGGACCAGTGTTGGGAACCACCAAATTCATTACACAGAGTGAAATATTTCAAGCCTTTATTTCTTGCCATTTTGATGATTTTGTCTTACAGATAATTATAAAAATCAGTGTCTCAGAAAATAAGAATATTGTGAAGAGGTTCAATATTTTAAACTCCTGGTGTCACATCCTAATCAGCTGATTAACTCCTAGACATGAGAACAACAAAGTCCGTGCTCAATAATCCAGGTATACAATCCAATATTTTTCAGTCAGGTCATCTGGACAGTTTCTTTTTTTTTTTGTGCTGAAACATTTCGCTTTCGATCCAGAAGGCTTCATCAGTCAAGGAAACACACAACAAAACTGATTCTTCCCCCAACAGCTTACTCTAAATTGGAACAAACAAAACTGGTTTGTTCCACTTTGGAGTAAGCTGTTGGGGGAAGAATCAGTTTTGTTGTGTGTTTCCTTGACTGATGAAGCCTTCCGGAAACTGTCCAGATGACCTGACTGAAAAATCCTAGACATGAGCTACAAATGTCTCATTCCTTAAATCGCGTCACTCCTGAACCAGAGACAACATCAGAAGTGTCTGATCTGGCTGAGGAGACAAAGAACTGGACTATTGCTTAGTGGTTCAAAGTCCTCTTTTCAGATTAAAGTAAATTCTTCAGGTCATTTGTAAATCAAGATCCCAGAGTCTGGAGGAAGAGTCGAGAGGCCCAGAATCCACGTTGCTTGAAGTTCAGAGTGAAGTTTCCACAGTCAGTGATGGTTTGGGTCCATGTCCTCTTCTGGTGCTGGCCCACTGTGTTTTCTGAAGTCCACAGTAAACATAGTATCTACCAGGACATTTTAGAGCACTTATGATGAGTTGTTTCCTGATCTGATGAGTTTTTTCTTCTGATGAGTTTTATGGAGATGCTGATTTCAATTTCCAGCAGGACTTAGTTCCTGCCCACACTGACAAAAGGTACCAAAAGATGGCTATAGAATATTCTAATTATTTGAGACACTGAATTTTGTTTTTTCATTATTTTCAAGACTCAATCGTTAAAATTACAAAAAAATAAAGGCTTGAAATATTTCACTCTGTGTAATATAGGAGTTTCACTTTCTGAAATGACGGACATTTTTTTTTATTACTTTTCACAACATTCTATTTTTTTTAGATGCACCTATACTTTCACTAAGTCTAAAAGCCAATTCTCACCTTGTAACCAAAACCATTTTTGTAAATATTTAACATTTTTGTTTTTAGCCAAATATACGGTCATGAACATAAAAGTCCACCTTTCGTAAAGTTTTCAGTATCGGGGCATAATGAAAAAATAAGCTGGTCTTTGCAAGGTTCTTAAATTATTTAAATCTAACCTAAACAAAAACAACAGAATCCACCATTTTGTTATTTATTAAACCAAAAGTGAGTGAAGAACTGGTTCGGCCTCTGATCCAACAGCATTCAGAACCTCCTTTAGCAGCAGAAACTCTCAGGATTGTTTTCTGTTGGAGTATCAGGCTCTCATGTGGTTGAAGAAGAATTTTGGCCCACTCTTGTTTCCAGCGTTGCTTCAGTTCATTCATGTTTCTGCTCAGATCTCTGAAGGTCCCACCACAATGTTTTAGACAAATTGGAGAAAACCAAACAGCATACAAACAATTTATTCCCCAAACATTCTGTTGAACATTCTGCGTAAACATCTGTACTTTAGTTTTGTTCCAGAAGTCCTGTGGTGCTGTCAGATAAAGGTGCTGTCATTTGTTTTTAGAAAGGTTTCCTGCTGCAACTCGTTAAAACAAGTCGTACTATTCAACAAAGTCTAGCTGACCTGTCATAACCTTTGACCTTTAACCTGCTGAGGCCTGTACAGTCTGAGATGGAGCTCAATTTTCTGAGCATTGCTCAGTCTGATCTTTTGGATGGATTTTCTGCCACTCCAGGGAAGACTTGTCACTTGTCTAAATGTTTCTTACTTGTGAATTATCCCCCTCTGTTTAGAATAATTGGACTCCAAACAGTCTGGAAATGACCTCTAACCCATCCCAGATTCATGGGCAGCAAGAGTTGCTTCTCTGAAGTCTGAAGCTGATGTCTTTCTGCCTTGGCGTCGTGTTAACACACACCAGTATGCTCTGAAGCAGAAACTAAACAATTCAATTGAATTGAAAAATACGTTATTAATCCCTAAGTCAAATTATATGTTGTAACTCATTATCCTCATTTCATCGAGATGTTATAGATACTGAAGGCTGTAAGCAGGAAGGATCTCTTGTAAAAGTCCATCTCACAGCAGATCCCCAGAAACTGGCCGCAAATGCCGTCAGATCTGTCCGCCCAGACTCAGCTGGCCTCTCGGTTTCCTCGGGCTGCAGGACAACCAGTATGCCGGGCAGAACTTTGAGAGCGACGGCCACTCCTCCCTAAGAGGCTGCCACCCCTCCCAGAGCGACGGCCACTCCTCCCAAAGAGACTGCTACCCCTCTCAGAGAGACGGCCAACCCCCCCAGAGCGACGGCCACTCTCCCCAGAGCGACCACCACTCCTCCCAGAGAGACTGCTACCCCTCTTAGACAGACGGCCACTCCTCCCAAAGAGACTGCTACCCCTCTCAGAGACGGCCAACCCCCCCAGAGCGATGGCCACTCTCCCCAGAGCGACAGCCACTCTCCCCAGAACGACGGCCACCCCTCCCAGAGCGACCACCACTCCTCCCAGAGAGACGGCTACCCCTCCCAGAGCGACTGCCACTCTCCCCAGAGAGACGGCCACACCTCCCAGAGAGACGGCCACACCTCCCAGAGAGACTGCCACTCTCCCCAGAGCGACGGCCACCCCTCCCAGAGCGACGGCCACTCCTCCCAGAGACATGGCTACCTGTCTCAGAGAGACGGCCACCCCTCCCAGAGCGACGGCCACTCCTCCAAGAAAGACGGCCATTCTCCCCAGAGATGGCTACTCTCCCCAGAGACGGCCACTCCCCACTTAGAGACGGCCACTCCTCCTAGAGAGACGGCCACTCCTCCCAGCAGCCTGCCTAGCTCCTTGTCACTGCAGACAGCGGGCTGCAGGTGCCGGGGGATGATCCCGGTCCTTCTGCTGTTACAAGCCACATTTCCTGCCAGTTCTAGGGTCTCAGTGGTCAGGCACTCGAGCACAGCCGGCAGGTAAAGGGGATGCATCCACTGAGCCTCCTTTTCAAATCATTTGAGATTTGGGGCTGTAGTTGAGATATTACTTGAGCTTTTGAGATGTTAATCAGCTGCTCCAAGTTATGAAAGAAAAAACACCTTGTTGCCATGGTTACGCATCATTACAAATGTCCAAAAGTACAAAAGGTTCAGGAAAAATCCCTTTAGCTGCATAGCAGCCAATGCCAGAGGAAACAATCGTCCAAAAAAAGTGATTCACATCCAGAAAAAGAGGAATTAAAGTTTCCAAAAGCAATATGTCAGAATGAAAGTAACAGAGCTACTCCAACATGCAGCCACCCTGAGCGGCGCAATTCTAGAGAAAACCTCTGAAATCTCTGAAGCAGCGAGGCTGGAACCAGCTTTACACTCACAGACTTTCTGTTTTGTGATAATAAATAATTAAATATGTTGGTTTTGTAGCCTTCAGGTTAGATTTGAATAAATTTTAAACCTGGCGAAGAACCAGATCAGTTTTATTATGTTCTGATAGGTGAAACTGGAAAATTGGAAAAATAGTGGACTTTTTGTTTAATTTCTTTTTCCATGACTGCATAATAAAAAAGCTCAGAAGCCTGGATTTGAAGTAAAACCCTGATCATCCTTTGAAGAACAAAACAAAAAAAAGGCCTAAAGCTCTCTCTTCCATTGTTAACCCTCCTGCTGCCCTTGGGCTAAAATGACTGACAGGAGCTCAGTTTAAAAACTGAGGCCTCATGGCTCATTTTGACTCAAGAGCAGCGGGAGGGTTCATATTTGTTGTAACATTACCAACAGAGCCACACACGGAAAAATGACAATATGCAGCCACAGAAAACAACCCAAACGGCATAAATAAGAACAAATAAAGGACACAAACAAAGCGCTTCAGCAGACGGCTCATGCATTATACATCAGGACAACAGCAGCGACTCGGTCGCCGGCGGCTGAGGGATGAAGAGGATCGAGCTGCGGAGGGATAATGTGGTGGCTGAGGAGCTGAATCACACTCCTGGTCTTAAATTGGACAAACATTCCGAAATTAAGTGATCCCAAGAGGGAAAATCTCTCAAATAAACTCTTCAATCGTGTTCTGCAGTTCATTCTTAGGAGGGTAATCATGTCTGGGAAATATTAAAGAAGCGCTATTATAACCGCCTGCAGATTTATTTTAGGATTTTAGTGTTAAAGTCTATAAAATTCTTTACAAATCCAATTTCCTGCTTGAATAACCATCTAAAATGATCCCAACGTGTACTCTTTAAAATATATATACAAACTAACGAGTAAACAAAGTTTTTCACAAAATCTTTGCGTTTTATTTGCAATAAAGCAGGTAGATGTTAGTTCAGGGAATCTGTAGGTTTCAGCAAGTTATTGGTAAATGTGAGACTTTTGAAGACCTTTTTGATGCCACCTTGAAAGACATTTAATATATATTTAAAAAAATCTATAAATACAGGCAATGGTTGAGATCCTGCTGTATCACAACCAAACACATCAAGTGTGTCACTTTGAGACACATTCAAGTTTAGCTTTTGTCTGTTTATTGAACATAAAGTGATATTCAGAGCTCTCTGGTTCAATAGCTGTAGGTACCATTGCAGTTCAGTGTTTCTCCTACATAGCCATGGAGTTCCTCAGGGTTCAGTGTTTGGACCAATATGCTTTATATACTGTGTGCTTCCATTAGGTAAAGTTATTAAACAGCATGGGATAAATTTTCGATGTTATGCTGATGATACAGTTATATTTGTCCATGAAACTACACAAATCCAATCAGTTACCAGTACTTCAACTACAAACATCTTAAAAACGTAAAAACCTGGATGACCTTTAATTTTTAGGAGGAGTTCAAGTACCTCGGGGTCTTGTTCACGAATGAGGGAAAAATGGAGCCAGAAATCTGATGGACGGATAGGTGCAGCGTCTGTAGTGAAGCATGCGCTGTAATGGTCTGTCGTGGTGAAGAGAAAGCCGAGTCAAAAGGCGAAGCTCTCAATTTATTGGTTGATCTACGTTACTACCCTGATCTATGGTCATGAGCTTTGGGTTGTGACCGAAAGAACGAGATCACGGATAGAAGCGACCAAAATTAGTTTTCTCCGCAGGGTGTCTGGACTCTCCCTTAGAGATAAGGTGAGAAGCTCAGTCATCCGGGAGGGATTTAAAGTAGAGCCGCTGCTTCTCCACATTGAGAGGAGCCAGTTGAGATGGCTCAAGCATCTGGTTAGGATGCCTCCTGGACACCTCCCTGGTGAGGTGTTCCGGACACTTCTTACCGGGAGGAGACCCAGAGGAAGACCCAGGTCATGCAGAAGAGACTATGTTTCTCGGCTGGCCTAGGAACACCTTGGGATTCCCCCGGAGCTGGCCCAATTGGCTGGGGAGAGGGACGTCTGGGCCTCCCTACTTAGGCTGCTACCCCTGCAACACGACCTCGGATAAGCGGAACAAAATGGATGGATGGATAAACTCAGACACGACTGAGGTTTTGTTTTATGGACCTGAGCATCTTATGAATACATTTTTCAGTCTTTCGCCCTCCTCGGAGGGCATTAATCTGGCCTCCAGCTCTGATGTTAAAAATCTTGGTGTTATTTTTGATCAAGACATGTCTTTTATCCCCCAAATTAAAAACGTTACTAGAACCGCTTGCTCAGGATGAGAGCCTGCGACGAAGTTAAAACTCAAAGCAGACTGCTGGCTCCTCAGATAAATAACGTAATTAACTTACCGGTACTTTTTATGAATATGAATGTTGGTTCGGTAGGCAGGGCGCTCCGTTCTGTTGGCAGGGTGGTGCGCCCTGCTTGTATAATGGTAGGGGAAACACTGCAGTTATTTGGTTGGAAACATCAAATACTAATATAATAGAAATATATAAAGAAACAAACAAAATCTACTGAATGCATTCATGGGATGAGACTCAATTGTGTTCATCTCTAGTTTTGCCTTCATACACAAAGACGTCCAACCAACCGTCGATACATTTACACCAACAAGATTTAGTCGCAGAATAGCTAGCTAGCATATATCAGCAGCTAATAGAAAATATCCCCAATCCCCTTGAGTCACTATCAGTTTTAACCAAAGACAACGTGAGTTCAGAACGCACGGAAGAAGACTGCACACGACCGACTGAAGGTAAAACTTTTACCTGATAGAAAAGTCCCACGAGAAAAAAAATGCAAATATGAGATTAAATAGTCCCAGATTCTACACATTTGAGAGCTTTTTCCTGCATATAGGTGACTTCTCAATGGTTTCACAAAGAGAAGTACAGAGTGTACATGACCTTATTGGCTTGCATTGGCTCCCTGTGCATTTCAGGAGTCATTTTAAAATTCTGGTTCTAACTTTTAGGGCACTTCATGGTCAGGCTCCCAAATATTTACTGGACCTTTTGAAGCCTCTATGTCCCATCAGGACTTTGAGATCTTCAAATCAAATGTTGCTGATAGTTCCGAGAACTTATTTTAAAACACGTGGAGACAGAGCATTCCAAGTGGTGGCCCCCAGGCTTTGGAACGCTCTCCCTCTGTCACTGCGCTGCTCAGATTCCATTGACTCTTTCAAAAATGATCTTAAGACTTATTTATTCAGACTGGCTTTTATTTAAATTTTATTTACTTTTACTTGTGAAGCACTTTGTGATGTCATTGTCTGTGAAAGGTGCTATATAAATAAATATTACTTACTTACTTACTTATTAAAAGTACACATTATATTATGTACTTAAGTACCTGAGTGTGAGATAATCACCCTTCATACCAAGCATATAAAACAATACAAAATGGAATTCCAGAAAACATTTGAAAGCACTTTTTATGCACTTTTTATAGAACATAACTGTCTGCCATACAGGCACTTTTTGTAGCTCTCTGCTGCTGTTGTGGATCATGACAGGAAACTTTTCCTCTCAGCTGATTTTGAAACAAACGGGCAGGTTCCACCATGTTTTGTTTGATGTTTAGCTTATAGATTCATATTTGCCGTGATGATCCGGTATGAACACATGTACCGTTACATACGTCGTAAACATCCAGCAAAATGGCAGGTGAGGACAAACCAAGCTGGAGGAGACATGTGACGGGAGGTGGGATGGATTGTTGGGGGACATGCAGGGGGGAGCTTCTCTCATCGGGTCGCACTCACCTTGTGCGGGGTTGACATAAGTAGCAGGGCCGGTGCCAGTGGGGGCTGTAGAGGCAGGGAGCTGAGGAGGGGGAGGAGGTACAGGTGGAATTTCTAAAGGGGGGTTAGGGGCTTGTGGGGGGGCATCTAGGACAGAAGAAGGAGGCCCTGGGGTGGTGGCAGTGTTGGGGGGTGGTTTAGCTGTGTTGGGTGGGGCAGGGGCTGAACCTGATGGGTGAGATGGGGGGGGGTGGGGGTTAAAGGTCAGAAGGGAGAGAAAACACAGGTGGGGGGTCGAGACGAGTTCAGAGAACGAGAAGATTAGATCCAGAGCTCCTGAACACGGGACGTTCTGGATATTGACAGAGTAGGTGGGTTAGTTTTAAGACAAACGACTGGGGAAGACAAAAAGTGGGCGTTACCTGGGAAGGCTGTGGGCGGAGCAGGGGTCGGCACGGCGATGGGCACGCCTACGCTGCCGCTACCGCTGTTCTCTCGGCTGCTGCTGCGACTGCTGCTGGGGTGGCTGCCTCCGCTGCTCCCGCTGCTGGTGACGAGGCGGCAAAACACGTCAGGACGCACACACTCACACACAAAACACCCTGCTGTTAGCAGGCTTCGGCTGAAAGACGCACCGCCACCTAAAAACAGCAGCGGCTACATTTAACGACCCCCATACATTCAGTCCCTTTCAGAAACTAAACTCAGAAATGTGAAAGAAAAGTTTGAAATTAAAAATCTAAACGTTAGAGATACCTGCACGTGTCAGAAACGCACTCATTCTACAGCGGGAGTAAAATTAACTGTACGTGCACAGCATCTTCGGGCCACTCAGAGGCCTGAATTTTGTCTTTTGGCTCATACCGTAGGAAGGCTTTAACGGTGAGGACAACCTGCCTTAGAGTTAGAAAAGACGCATACAGGACCAGGTATGAAAAACAACAAGTATTTCTTTACAGAAAGAGGTGCAACGATCGAGAAACTACGTCTTCATCAACGACTTTTACGATCATCTGCCTCCACGAAAGGCGGACAATCAAGTGAATGCCCGTTTGTTTGTGTTTGTTTTTCTGTTAGCAAAATATCTCATGAACTACTGGACACATTTTAATCAAATTTTCAAAACGTAATCATTGGATGTACTGTATTTTCCAGCGTATAAGTCGCAGTGTTTTTGTATAGATTTGTCAGTCCTGTGACTTATATACATTATTTTTTCCCCACATTCGTAACGCTATTTTTGACTGACGCTTTATATTTCAAAGAACTGCAACAGCGAGTCCATCCATCCATCCACAGCAGACGGACGGATGGATGGCACTGCGCCACCCTAGCGAAATGAAGCTGTTTTGACCATTAAAAGTGCATTTATTAAGGAAAAGTTATACTGAGACATACCTTTGCTATAATGTCGAGCAAACAAATAATACTTTTAAGTGTTAATCTTGTTAAATTTTGAAGAACTGCAACAACGAGTCCTCCCGTGTGTGCTCGTTTCACTCAGCTGGTGCAGGTGGGGGAACGCTGGAGAGCTAGCGGCTCTGGTCACGATGGATGGAGCCGCGCCGCCCAGGTGAAATGAGTTTGTTTTGATCATTAAATAAAAGCATAATAAACGCGACGGGTCAGTGGTGACTCATAATAAAGGTGAGCTATACACCCAAGTGACTTATATACGTATTATCCTCTTCGTGATGCTTTTTTTGACTGATGCGACTTGTAGACCGGATCGACTTACACGCCGGAAAATACGATACGTCTGTCATGGCTAATCAAATTAAGCAAACACAAAAATGCCTACAATTCAAACAGCTTCACAGATATTGAGCTAACGTTTGGTGTGATGGTAGAGAAGCACATTCCCAACACATTCTGCAAGACTTGGTTAAAAAGCCTTAGATTTCAAAGTGGCGGACGACATGCATTCCTTTAAAGGAACACTACTGTTATTGTTCTGAGCACTTTGTGGATATGATTAGTTATTGCTTAGGTTGGACAAAAAATAACTTAAAAAAAAAAAGTTCTCTTCCAAAATAGTTTTCCTCAAAAGAATGCATATCACCTGCATGCTAAGCTCCAACGTTTAAACAATGAACAGTAGCAGAACTAATCAGGGCTTAATTTGAGCCGGGTCCTGCCAGAAAAGGATCCGGGAACTCCCTTTTGTTTTGACAGGGTGTGTTCCGGTAACTGTTCGCTTGGATCCGGTAACTCTCAGGCTTACTAATCATAAAGTTATGAACAAATATGACTGCCTTGGATGAATAAAACTCATCTTGGATATGTAAACTGAAAATAATTACATAAACACTAATTTTAAACACAACAGCCACTTAAGACGTCTTAATATCACATACCAGTTTCCCCTTCAAATAGCATTTCCGCCTCTACCCTTAAAAAAATTTCCACCCCTAAAAGAGTGGCGGGGTGAGTGCTGAGATAACCAAGCAGTTGTATGCAGGCAGCCGCCATGAACAGACGGAGGAGGCGCCTGGAGCTTTGACATGTGGAGTCGGACAGAGAATTCAGCGGAGAGTCATCTCGGAACCGTCAAGTGGCGGGATAGTATGCGTGACCGAAGCGGAGTTTTTACAAATGTACCGTATTATTCGGCCTATAAGTCGTGTTTTTTTGCATAATTTGCATGCCCTGCAATTTATACACCGAAGCGACTTTTGTTTTTTTATTCCCGTATTTATAAACTAATTTTTGACTGATGTGACCATTTTCATTAATTCTGACTGAAAATATTGAACACTACCATTTTCAACCGCTAGATGGCAATTGAGTAGTATGGCATGCCGCTGTGTCATGCAATAGGTAAAAGTGGCTATTAATGACACAATCGGCTTGCCATAGATGCCACCTTCATCCAGCTCGCCTGGAGCAACCGTAAAATCAGCTTCATTTTGCTGCACAGCCCCGGCGAAATGCAACTAATTTGACCATGAAAGTTCATTTATTAAGTAAAAGTTCAAATGAGACGCACTTTTGCTATAATGTTGAGCAAATAATTGTTTTGGGTGCTTTTCTTGTTAAATTTTTGAAGAAATGTGCAGCATTCCTCCTTCCTAATTTCCTCCCTGTCTGCGCACTCCCGGAGCACCGAGGCAGCAAATATTTTTGAAATGCAGCTGATTTGACCGTTAAAGTTCTTTTATTAAGAAAAAGTTCAACTGAGACACACCTTTACTATAATTTCGAGCAAACAAATTATTGTTTTTAAGTGTTAATCTTGTCCTCCCATGCACGTTCCCACAGACACCATTGGGCAGCCAATCGATTTTTGGCACAACACCAGCCCACATTTCCGGGTTGTCAGCAGTGACACATAATAGATGCGACTTATATGGCCAAGCAACATATTTATGGATTTTTCCACTTTATTAGACATATTTGAACTGATGCGACTTTTAAGGCGGTGCGACGCATACAGCGGAAAATATGGTAGGTAATGTAGCTGTTTAACAACCCGTTAAAGTACACTAAAATGCATGAAATATCATCTACTTTATTCAAAATTCAAAAAGGGCCCGCCTGCCATTTGCGTTCCGGCAGCGATGGGTTTACAAATTAAGCCCTGGTACTAACAACCTGACAAGTATCTGCAGGGCACAGGCAGTAATAAAAATAGACTTCTGTTATTATAAATTGACCTAGCCGGGCACCGTCAGGTTACGTATAAGGCACCACCTTAAATCATGTTGCCACCAGTTTATTTCGTTGTAGCAAGTTTTATTAGAATTTGTCTTTTGGTTCATGAGATATTTTGTTTACTGACAAACACAAACAAACTATTTTGATAACAAGCGGCAACTGACTACATTTTTTTTTTTTTTTTTTTTAAAGGCTAACATATTTTAATAAACAAAACTCAAACAAATCTGAAGAAGTACCTGACTGTTTTGGACCGTATAAATTATTTGCCTATCCAGATTAAAAGTCCTAAAATGATTTCTAAGCTTCTGAGCGCAACTTGTTGCAAAACGTTTAAAAAAATCTTGAACCTATTCTTCTCAATGGTGCCCAACTCTGGTCCTTGAGGAACACCATCTTGCATGTTTTAGTTGTTTCCCTGCTTTGACACACCTGATTTGAATAAATGGGTGATTTACAGGATCCTGCAAAACTTTAAGTAATCAAATCACTGAATCAGGATGCAGGATGGCGTTCCTCAAGGACCAGGGTTGGGAATCACTTCTTTATGTTTCCTCTTCCGTCTTGCTTTACAACAAGACAATAGTTCACTTCAGGCATTTCAGCCTATTGAAACAAGTCTGGTCCAGTTTATTAAAGCAGCACGCTCAGGAGCGTTGATGTGTCAGCGATGGACGAGGACAGACGCAAGACGAAGACACAGATATGGCACGGTGTTGAAGCAGGAAGCATCTGGACATGTGAGGAGGACTTTCTGTGGACAGCAAAGAGGCTGAGATGAAGAGGATGAGCTGTGGATGGAGTGGTGCAGGTGAAACACTCAAGCTGAGGAGGAGCGGAGGAGAGTCAGAGGGAAGTTTTCTGATTTTATTCTTGGAGCAGAAAAAGTGTCCGGGACAAAAAAAAAAAAAATGCAGAGTCAAAAACGTTCCTTTTCTTGAGCTTTTCTCTTCTCTGATGAAAGAAAATATCACCGTCCTTCTTGGATGGCAAGCTCAGAGGAAAGGAGCTGACAGGTTGACTGTCGCCATGGAAACCTGCCTCTAGCGGAGCTAAAATAGCTCCTAAACTCCATGTCAACCTAAATTTTGAGTCAAACTGGGCTTTTCCTTGAAGCTACAGCTAAAAGAAAGTTTTTAGTGGCCCAAAACAGGTGGGACGTAAAACAGGAAGTGTCATAAAAAATAAAAAAAGGTTTTTAAAGAACAATTAAACATTTTTTAGAAGCGTCCTTGTATTTGAAGTGCAGCACAGAAGAAGAAGAAAAGGGCAGAAGGCTGAGGAAAAGGGGGCTTTGTTTAAGAAGTGAACAGAGGCATGCTGGGAAGTGGAAGGGGGCGGGTACCTGTACGTGCGGTTCCTCTGATTAACGGATGCAGTGCGTGCGGGGCTCTGCTGGGGGTGCGCCATGTTGCGCGTCGGGCTCGAGACGTAGTCGTTAGGGACAACGGGAGGACGCACCGGCTCGAGCGTCCGATAGGGGGAGTGGCGCCTGCGAGAGGGTCAGGGGGTGAGTCCGAGGGGTGAGGTAAAAAAAAGAGGGGGAAGGGGTGCATCCAAGAGGGAAGTGTATGGGGGGAACAGGAGGAGGGGAGGAGGAGAGCGAGAAACAAACAAGTGCAAACTTAAAATCATGGAATGACAGGTGGTGAACATCGGGACAGACTGTGGTCAACAGGTGATGCTTGAGGAACCACATCGCTGCTGTTGGCTGCAAAACAACTCCCTCCCCCATCACATGAACTCCCATTTCTGCTTTAAGACACAAAAACATGACAGAGCAGATTACGAACAAGTCAACTCAATCTGCGTCTTTGGTACATTTGACGATTTGCCTTTAAAGATTTTAAATAATTAAGAGACACACCGATCCAATATTAGTATCGGTATCGAGAAAATTCTTGATTGGGGGTATTTGGCAGTGATGTACCGATCTGATAATAGTATCGTATCTGTAACAACTCTGAAAAAATTCTGATCGGGTATTAGAGATGCACCTATCCCATATCAGTAAAAGAAAAACATCGTGATTGTAAAGCATCCATCCATCCATCCATCCATCCATCCATCCAGATGAGGGACTACTGTATTCTACAGATTATTAAAATGGATATTTCTAAAAAATAAAGTATTACAGTATTTCTGCTATAAAAACAGATTAGTATAAGTATTATCACAGTAGTCATCATTGTAATTATTTAAATTTCAGAACATAAAAGAGCACCATAACAAATATGTTTTTTCAAGATCTTGGTTTAAAATACCCAGTAATACTTCTAATAATTGGTAAATACTTTATTGGTTTAATCAATGCTTTTATCCTGCGGCACCACCCACTCGTTCCTTCTCTGACTTTTTCTAAAACAGAGTTTTTACACCGTTCACCAAGTAAAAACTTGGAAAACCCAACAATGTTCACTGAACAGAAAACATGTTGGATTTAAAATCCTGCCCTGGCATCCGGAAATTCACCCATCGGAGAAAATCAGATTTTTACATTTCTAATTGAATGCGCTCAAACTAAAAAAAAAAAAAACCCTGAAAACTGGTGCATCCCTGAAACAAAGCCCTTAAAAGAACAGAAACCTGCTCAAAGTGTCTGGTAACTCAACAGCAGGGTCCGTTTTTACAACAAGGAGAACCAGAACACTGAGATGATCAAACGTCCCGCTGTTCCTCAGACAGCCGACTCGTCGCTGATCACTGCTTTGCTCAAATGTTATGAGGCAGCCAGAAGTGGGCGAGCTGGGCCACAAACACAACTGCGAGACAAAATTCAAGAAGAAAAAAATATATATATTGAAAAATCTGAAAGATTTTCCCCACACGCTGATGTGCGTCATGAAAAGCCGGAGCTCAGGTGAATCTATACGGATGCTGAGGACACGCACACATTTCTAAGCTGCTTGAGTAAAACCTCCTGTGGGATAAAAGATACTTTCATCAGTCGAACACAAGAAAACTGTAAACATGTCAAAACAATAAAAGCTTTTTGAACAAATCTTTAAAAAAAAAAAACAAGGCCCAGACTAATTAAATATTCAACTGAGAACATATTACTAACAAAACTGAGACGTCGTATAAAAAGTACCGTAATTTCCGAACTACAAGTCGTTACTTTTTCCACACGCTTTCAACACCGCTATACAATGTTGCGGCTAATTTAGTTGTTTTTTTTGTTTGTTTTTTTGACGGTCTAACGAGCTTAACAAAACAAAAACATTTAGCCTCGTCACACCCGGGTGCTCACATAGCTGCCCAATACATGTCTCTTTTGGAGGGTGGGTCCTCCTGACTCAAGGAGACTACCGTAATTGTCCATGTATAGAACGCACCGGAGCGTAAGCCGCATGCGCTGAATTTAAATCAACACAATTCTGTACATAAAGACGCACCTGTGTATACGTCGCAGGTGTCCACATTATATCAAAAACTGCACTGCTCCTGAAATAAATGTGCAGCTCTTGTTCTAGTACAGGAGTCAACCACCAGGTGTCGTCTCAAAGACATTGAAGGAGTTCTCTGCAGACCAAAAGTGGGCGTTTCTGGAGAATAGGTGTTTTGCAGAGGACAAACACTGATTGGCTAGTTGCATTTGCTGGCTCTTACGTCAGCTCTTTTTTTTTTTTTAAGTGAAGGTTTCTAAGAAACAGTGTTATATCTGCAGTCAAACACAAGAAGATTCTCTTTTGTTCTTGGGTTGTAGGCTGCACCTGACACAGGTTGGCTTGAGTGTGTTCTGGGCACAATGAAATATGAAGCATCTGAAGCGAAACCTGCTCCTATTTGTCAAAAAGTCTGGTCTCAATTAAAAATCATGAGTCCTGTAATGAGATAGCAGCCCAAAACAAAAGCTAAAAGCTAAATTTGCTCTTTAGAAGTGTCTTCTATGAGATGTGATCTAGGAAAGGAGCTGAAACATGGCGTACAGTTGACCCTTAAAATGTGAGACAGCTGAGGAAGTTAACCAGTAAACAGAAATACCTGCTCCAGTTGCAGAAATCTTACAGAAACTGACAATCACTCATCTGCAGTGACTGCAGGTTGAACAAGAAAATGTGAAGTTAAAGGAAACACCCTTTGTCCCAAAGCCAGTTTACGTATCATTATTATTTTGGTTACTTTATTTTTCTTTCTTTATGAATCGATTCGAAGTATTTTCACATTATTCAACAATCAAAACAGATTGTTTTTTTATGTAATAGCTAGGTATTACAAAAACAAACATTTAGCCCTCCCCACTACACATTTATGTTGCTCTTATTTTGAAATGTAACTGGAAGTTCTGTGTTAAGAGAGGCGGAAAGAGAAGTTATGGCGACGCCGCTTATGTCGAACCTGAGACGCCGCCAATGTAGAACTGGAGACACCACTTATGTCGAACCGGTAAACACAATAGACATAATAGGTCTGTGTTAAACACAATCTGTCAATAACACCTTGATTTTCTTGTCTAATCAAATGTGGCCCTCCACATACGCCTTCCGAATTTGTCTGCAGAGATGCCTACTTGAAGACATTACCCGTAGACTTGCTTTTCAACACACAGGCAGACTCAACAAATGTCTGCGTAAGCAGCTTCTCTCACTCATAGACAGACAGCCCATTTCATGTCAAGGGGCCTCGCTCCCATTTTTCTTAAAGAGACACGCTGCTCGCTCCCTCACTATCCATCCTTCGGTTCAAACAATCTTATACTGCCATCAGTGGTCAAAAAAGTTACTACACACAAAGATTAACAAACATTTCTTCTTAAATTTGACAATAATTACTAATTATTGTCAAATTTCAAACAATATTATCGTTTATCGCAATAATTTCAGAGACATTTAATCGCCCAGCAAAATTTGTTATCGTGACAGGTCTAGCCATCAATAACTTCCTGGCAGGCTTCTGTATTTTTTTATTTTTTTTACCAGCTGTGTTACAGGCACTGTTCAGAAAAAAAACAAAAACATTTACTCTATGTATTTGTGTATCTTACGGTACCTATTTAAAGTTAAAAAAATATTTCTGTGTAAATATCTCATGCTACAACATGAACACCCACGGCTAATAGAAAAGTGCATATATATATATATATAT